CCCCAAGAAAAATGATGTGCAGAAATAACAGAATGATTATTGACTTTTGCTTTTCAGCTAGAAATTACGTAACTGTTTTGCCAATTTGAGACATAAAATTACCAAGATCCTAACCATCTTTTTAAGGGTGAGAACAAGGGGAAAAAAACCCACCCTCCCTCAGGAGACATTTAATTTGTCAGATAAATGTGAAGATAGGGAGGGTATTTGGAAGGAATCGGAATAAACTGAGCATACCATGCTAAATTTAAGGTGATGGCAGATGTTAAGTATGAGGTCTGTGTTTAGACTGACTTCCTGTTTTTAAAATCTGGAGGCTGTTTGTATAATACTTTGCTATGAAAACTGTTTGGATATTGGATCCTTCTGCTGTTGCATCTGGAGGGAACCAAACTACAGACAGTGAAGATGATTTTTTTGGTTGCTAGTACCCATGGGCAAGTGATAGAGTAGCAAAGAGAGGCCAGGAAAGTTGAGTGATGTCAGCTAAGCACCTGGCAATGCCTCTGCTTAGATTTTGTGTATTGTTTTGTATGTATTGCATTGTTAAAATATGTAGAGATTTTGCCTCCTGTATAAGTGAAATGATTTTTGAATATAAAGGGTTGGTAAAATGTCCAAGCCTACAGAGTGATGAAAAGTTTTGGGAAAACATTTATCATGGCTAAGCCCAGAGGTACCTCTCATTGTTCCTGCTCCAGAAGAATATGCAGGAGTGTAAGTAGATATGTCTGCTTTGATTGTTGGTCCAGTTGCCTGAATAGCAAGTGCTGATTTCCGTCCTGTTCCTGGACCCTTGACTAACTTGGCTTGAAACGTGACACTGGAGGTTTATGTGCGCGCTTGGTTAGTCGTCTGTCACATGCTCCCTATGTTTAATGGGAGCTCGGCGTGAAAGAGTAAGTATTCCATTGAGGCCTCTCGCACCAGATGTACTACTTCCATTTATCTTTGAGGGGGTTGGAGAAAGCATGCTTCTCTTCTTTATCCTTCCTTGCCCTCTACTGTTACAGATACAGTTACAGGGTAATGTCATTGGAGCTCTGAGCACTGGGAAATAGTCATGGGAGACCACATTTAAATCATTG